GGCCTTTCTTTCTGGGGGCCTGGGAAGAATTTCTGCCAACGTTTTTGTGTATATAAGGCTTGGAAATTCAAGAAATGTCTTACCCCCATCTCATACTGCCATACACATCAGCATGTCCCACTATAGGACAGATGTTCTACCTGTGTAGGTGTGATGTGGGAGAGCTTTCCAGGCCTTTCAGAGAACACAGAACACTCAGACTAAAGCAGCCTTCTCTTGCAGTGCAGGGCTCAGGACACTCTTGTGATTCTGATTTCTCTGCTGTCCTTGTTCTGCCCTAGAGCACCTGCTGGTCTCTTATCTCCCCTCTTACTAGCACCCACTGCAGCCTAAAGATGCCTGACTTTGCTCTTCAACATGATTGCACTTCCCACCCAAGTAGATCAGTGTCCATGGATCTGAATGTGAGTTACACTGGCTCCTCACTTGTCCTTTCTTAATCATTTGTTTTTCTAGTGGAGGGGTGGGGGAGAACTGAGGCTTGAAATCCCCAGTGTTCGTGTATCTAAGCTCTTATTGTTCCCTCTTAGCTTCTGCAAATGGAACAGCCCAGCCATTTCTGCCTCTTGTCTCTGACTCAGTTTTCTTATTGTTGAGGATTAACTCTGTTTTCTTTATTTCTCCACCAATAGATATTAGATTTGCATCTGGCTATCTGTTCGAAATAGTGTTGTCTTGAAAGGGCCTTAGATATTGCTTCAAGATCTCATTTCCATTTCTTTTGTATTATTATTGCTTGAATGGTTTTCACTTTGAAACTCCTGTAGAAATGTAACTGCCACTGACCGTATTAAGAGGGGGACTACTGAGGAGATGACTAGGGCATGGAGTCTCTGCCCTAATCAATAGTGGCATTTTAGTGAGACAGATCTCTTTTTTTCTAATTCATCACCTTTTCTGCACTCCATCATAACAGTGTAAGAATGTCCTCACAGATGCCACGATCTTAAACTTGGCATTCCACACCTCCAAAACCATAAGAAACAAATTTCCATTCACTATAAATTACTCACTCTCAGGTACAGTACAAAATAGAGTTATCAGATAGCTATATACTCTGAAGTGAGATCATGAATCATGCAGTAATTTTATTTTTCATGGTTTTGGGAATATCCATACAATCTTCTATGGTGGATATATTACCTTTCCTATACTACAGGAATTCCAATTTCTCTACATCTTCACCAGCATTTGTTATTTTCTATTTTCTTTCCTTTTTAATGATGGCAACCCTAACTGGTATGACTTTATACCTTACTGTGGTATTGATTTGAATTTCTTCATGATTAGTAACACTGAGCATCTTTTTGGGTGCTTATTGGTTTTGGATATCTTTGGAGATATATGTCCTTAAGATTTTTGCCAATTTTTCAGTTGGAATATTTTCTATTCTTATTTAATTGTAAGAGATTTTATATATGTATTATGATGTTGACTCCATATTCAGACTGTAGGCTCCCCTTTCTCTTTGCTTCCTTTGATGTGTAGTTTGTATTTTGATGTGGTTTCATTTGTTTATTTTCCCTTTGTTGCCTGAATTTTTGGTATCAATGTCAAGACAAGAAATCATTGCAAATTCCAGTGACAAAGATTTCCATGTATGTTTTCTTATCACATTATTGTTTAGGTACCATATGTAGGTCTTTAATTTGTTGTGTGGTCTTTTCATGGGGAAACATGAACCAAGCATCTTCTCATCCCAGACAAGATGCCACTACAGAAGGAAAGAAATGATTCCACACAAGTCTAAGATGGCGAAAGAACTATAGTTGTTACTATAGTAACTGAATTATAGTTACTTACAAAAGTGTGGGCGAGGTGTTACTTACAGAAGCAGGAGACACTGCACAACTACAGAGTCATGGGTAGCTATATCGCCAAAGGAAAAATATCTCTTTCCATTCAGCAACAGCAAACTTTCTATATGTCTTTAGGGATGGCTATGGCCTGCTGAGCACTCTCCTCTGGTAACCATTAACTGTGAATCCTTGGATAAGGTCAGATCCTCATGAGCCCCTTCCTCATTCCACTGATGGAAAGTTAATGGATCCAATCCTATACATTCCTCCTTTAGTCAATGTCTAACTTAAGGTTTCTATCGCTGTGATGAAACAGCATTCCTAAGGCAGCTTTGGGAGGAAAGGGTTGATTTTGTTTACATTTCCATGTCACAGTTCATCACTGAAAGAAGTCAAGCCAGGAACCAGGAGACAGGAGCTGATGCAGAGTCCATACAGGAGTGTTGCTTACTGGATTGATCCTTATGGATTGTTCTCCCTGCTTTCTTATAGAACTCAGGACCACCAGCCCAGAAGTGGCACCACTCACAATGGGCTAGCCCCTCCCACATCAATCATTAATTAAGTTTGTCTACAGCCCCGTCCTGTGCAGGCATTTTCTCAATTCACTCCTCTTGGATAACTAGCTTGTGTCAAGCAGATATAAACCTACCCTGCACAGCTAATCATAGCTGCTCACAGTTCAGGAGAACAGCACCCTATGCCCACAGGGAAGATGTTTACAACACCTCACTCTGTTGGAGGCCCTGAGTGAGTGGTGTTTTCAGTGAATATGTGCTGTTGTACACATAACATGAAATTTATCATCACCAGGTTTAAATCAGATGAAGGCCTGACACTGTAGACTTAATACCAGGTTGTCCTCCGTAGAACACCAGCCAATTCAATGTAACTGCTGATGTTCATTTGAAAGTCAAGTAGATTCCAGGGAAAACTGCATGATATCCTATCAGCATGCCAGGCAGGATGTGCCCACTAGTGCAGTCGTGGCACAGCTACTCTTGGTATAACCAATGACTTTCTGACTGGACGTAAGACCCACTCCCCAGGAAGAAATTCACATCTGGTATTGTAAACTTAGTGGCTCTGGAAACTGTAGGTCCCAGTAGAGAAGCTACTGCTATTGTTTTGATACATGAACATGATGTCTGTCAAATTGCTTTCTAAATACTTATGCTTAAATCTATAGCTTATTGCTGATGTCATCATTGGTCAGAGAAATTTATCTTTACAGTGGGTAGTACTTACTGCAGAGACTCATCACTGGCAAAGGTGCTTAGAATAAGGTGAATTCTCAGCCCAAATTGATACATCTATATTACATACTGTAAGGCACAGAGAGCACCATGGAAAGGGGAGGCAGAAAGAACATAATAGCCAGGAGGAAGATGTGGTACCAGGTCTTTACATGGCTCCAGGGACAAACATGACTAAAGGCAGAGAAAAAAAGAAGTGAGAACACAATTGCACCATAAATACTAGAAATGAGTATACTAAAAAGGTTTCTACCTGTATCCCTTTCTTCATTGTTACCTTGTTTTTCAGATTTTTTTCATTTATTGAATATAGATTATTTTCTAACATAATATATCCTGATTGTAGTTTCCCCTCCCTCTCCTCCTCTCAGTTCCTACTCATCTCCCCTCCCTTCCAGATTCACTCCCTTTCTGTCTCTCCTTAGAAAAGAACAGGCTTCTAAGAGTTAACAACCAAACATGATAAATTAAAATATAATAAGATGAAGCAAAATTTTTCATATTGAAGTTGGATATTACACCCCAACATGGGGAAAAGAGTCCCAAGAGCAGACAAAAGAGTCATAGACCCCACTCATTCTCATAGTCAGGAGTCCCATAAAAACACTAATTTAATAGTATATATTAAATATACATTTAGTATGTATATATAGTATATATTTAGTATATATATAGTATATATAGTATATATTTAGTATATATATAGTATATATATAGTATATAGTATATATATACTATATATAGTATATATAGTATATATAGTATATATTTAGTATATATATAGTATATATATATAGTAAATATATATAGTATATATTTAGTATATATATAGTATATATATATAGTATATATAATAGTATATATTAAATATACATTAAGTATGTATATATATATACAAAGGACCTGGTGTAGACCTATGTAGGCCCTATACTTGCTGATTCAGTCTCTATGAGCTCATATGCACCTTGCTTAGTTGATTCAGAGGACCATGTTCTCTTTGTGTCCTCCATCCCCTCTCTGACTCTTACAATCTTTTTGCCTCCTCTTTGGCATGATATTCTGAGTTCTGAAGGGACAGATTTGATGGAGATTTCCAATTTGGACTCTTTTTTTTTCTCTCTCTCTAGAAGGCACTGTTTCAGTCTAGTCCTCCCCAACTCTAACTCTTTAAAAGTTATCTTAGTAAGTTGCAAGCATAGTATATTCAAAGGCTTTAAATGTCCATAGTGAATCTTTGTGTTTGTGATTCTAAACTAAGACACCCAAGTCCTTGGATAACTATTCTCCTTAACTCCTTACCACCAAATAACTTCCTTTTAATCAATTTTCCTCTCTTCTGAATAGGTTCTGATCACATTGGTCCATGAGCTGTGTTTCTTACATTTCGGTTTTGTATCTATCTCTCAATTATTTTGACATTTTTATTATGTTATATCATCACCACTTGTTCCTTGTATCTGGCTGTCAAATATTTTGCTGAAATAAATGTAATCTGTAACAATGAGCAGACTTGTATTTTTGAATTCCAGATTTCTAATTCCAAGGGATGACTGAGGATAATTCAAAAGTGTTGTGAGAATCACATCGGAAAGACAGGGCTCCGAGGACACTTGTACCTGTACCAACAACTTGTGCAGGGCAGGGTCATCTCTGCATAACTGATGTGACACTGAGGAAATAACATTGTTTCTATTTCTAACTGTGTATGCTTGTTATTGCTGATATCTAAGGATGGAAAGGAAAATTCAGAATGACCAGTATCATAAATATTCACTATAGCAATTATTTTTGTGCTGACCATATAATTTCCACAGCATGAACAAGCATTTGAACGATACGTGCAAACAGTGTTCTGAGAATTCTCTAAAGTGAGCAATATGTTAATAGACTCTCTAGTTCTAAAATATCTCTTTATTGTAAGGTAATTGTTAAATGGACTGTTAAAAAGGAGAAACTCCTTGTCTGTTTATACATATTTTCATGCTTGAGACTTTGAAAACACAAGACCTTATTGGTAACTGCAGAGAAATATTTGGATGTCTTGATTTCTGTCTGAATTAGTAAGAACCAGCTGCAATAGCCAATATTTGCATGTGAGCACCCCTCATCCCCCTACATGAATAACAATGCCTAATAAGGGAATGTTAATAAACTCCATACAAGGAAATCAAGAATCATAACTTTGCATTTAGTTTTTAATCAGCCAGAACACAAGCATAACCTAAAGCATTTTGTAAGCTACAAAGTATTATTTTTTTGATTTGCATTTCTTTTTGGTACAAGTAAGATTTCTGTGTTCATGTCCCTCTATAAATTTCAAAGATAGGCAAATGAGCACTGTGAGATCAATGCATTGCTTTTGGTCATTTCTGTTGAGTGATCAGGTGAGAAGAATCTGGGGTTCATATTAGAAGCCCTTCCCCATGGTTTGGGTCCTTGACAGCTCCCATCAGCTGTCAGCTACACCATGGACATTGTCCATATGTACTTTGAGGTAGTCATTCCTTGTAAACTTCTTATGACAAAAATGGCACTCTGCCATCGGGCGGTTGGGATTGTGAGTCATCTTGTGTCGGATGAGCATTTTCTTCAGGCTAAAAGCCAAGTCACAAACCTAGAAAAGAACCAGATACTCCATTTATTTATGATGACAAACCAGTCTATCATATATACAATATATATTATGAAAATTCCCTCTATAAAATATGTGCTAGTGGGCCTAAGGACGATCTCTGCTCTCAGAATAAATGGAATTTCATACCCAGACAAAGAAGTTAATTGCAGTTCTCAAGCATCACTTGCATTTAATTGCATGGCTTGCACCACCCCCAAGCATCCTCTCATCTCCCAGATCTGGACCATGTCAGAGAAACAGCTTCCTAGGGACATACCTTCCTTAGCATAACAGAGTGTATTTACAGCTCATAACAACTCTTTACGTGCTGTGATTTACAGCCCAGATGACATCTCTCCACAGGGCATACATACACAAGACATTTTTTACTGTGATGTTTTCAATTTAGCCCCACTTGAGATGTGACTGGCTACCAAGACTCTAAGAGTTATAACCGCTTGTGATGTGACTGGTTAATAATGCTTTAAGCATTATAATCACTTGTGGTGTGACTGGTTAACAATGCTGTAAGTATTACAATTCAAATTTATTACCCAGTATTGAGTTCCTTTCTTTCTTGTTGCATGTATGTTGTTTAACTAAGGCACATAAGCAGTTTCTTTCATATAAACTCTACTACATGACAGCCTAGCTTGACATCCCCATCAAACAATCTGGTAATGAAAATTACCACAGTAGCAACATGTAAGGAAGGCACAATAACTTCAGTCATAGAGGGAAGTCAAGTGGAATTCCAAGTTTGATGTTACTCCAGATTTTCATTTATATATACTTTTTAAAAGCACATTTGCTTGTAAATAACATCTACTTCAATACTGTAGAAGTAAAGTAGAAACAAAAAGCACAATAAATGCTGAGCAAGGAAACACTAAAGAAAACTGGCATTCTGAATGGGGTTTGTGAAGAGATGGAAGCAAATGAGAACTGTGTGCTCTCTGCTTCATGTAGGAAGGAGGATTTACTGTCACAGCAGCAAGAAACTCAGATAGCATTCAGACGTGAACGTGGCTGGGAGCAGGAGCCATGGTGCATGATTTATGCAGAGGTCCCAGGTACTTGGTGGAAAACAAGTGAACTCCAGAGGCACACTTTCTTTCCTAGGAATCCTGTCCTTGCCCACACATACCTGCAGTCCTCTCTTTAGCCTTTTTCTTGTGCTGGAATCTAGGGTTTTACGCAGCAAATGTCACCCTCTGTCCCTTTCAGGTGATTTACTCAGAGGGCCATGAGGTCATCAGTGACAGGATGGAGGGCAGGGTGTTTGTGAACTAAGTATTTGGTGAGGAGCCAGCATGGACTTTTACGTAGGGAAGTATCCCTATTCACTGCACTTCCCTCGTCAGTAAAATCACAACAATGGTGAATTCCTTGCAGGGTTTAAGATTAAATGTGGTCTAAAGTTTATGCAAATTGGAGTTATATTGTAGACACTCACTAAATGCTAGGCTAAGTTTTCCTTTCATCTTCCCTAGCAAGCGGTATCATCAGCATATTGGAAAGAAGACATGAAGTGGACAGCTACCACAAGGGGGAACTTGAAAGAGGACACAGCTATTCAAGAGCACTTGCCTGCCCACTGGGATTCTTGTTCTCAAAGCAGCTGTTACTTTTCCTGCGAAACATTTACTCTCAGCTTAATGACTGATCTCTGTGATTTTTCTGGATGTATCTCCTTACTAGCATAGGGAACTTAAAGGTACAAGGTCATTAATCCATAAATATTAGTTGAAGTTACAAAAATGAAATGTGGCAGATGACAGAAGGGAGAAGGGAATACAGATACATATACATATATACATATCTGTATCTATCTATACATATACATGTATATAAATATATATACATATACATACACACATGAATATATATATTTATGGGTGGCTCCTATGGGCAATATAAATACCTCAAAAACTATGAGTATTTTCAAAGAAACTAAAATGTATGTTTATGGCAAGTACCTTAATATGAAATAAGTACCCAATTGTTTTGTAAGTGTAGCTTCAAATTGATGCTCATTTAAAAGATAACTTTAGAATTTATCTGCCACGTCCTATTTCTCGGGCCCCTTCTCCAAACCCATGTCAAAGCAAAGAGCACCCTGCTTGTAGAGTCTTCTTACAGACTGACATCGAGTCAGTCCCTTCCCATGGTGGAAACCTTGAGTTCTCCAGCCACTGCCACCCTGCACTCCACTCTGTCTCTCTCACGGGGCTCCCTCTCCCTAGGACTCCTTTCCCCTGGAGCCTCCAACTATGCTGTTTGCCCTCCTGAAATGCTCTCATCCTAGTGGCTGACTCCTCCTCATCTTTTAAGCTAAACAGATAAATAAACACAGAGAAAATACAGAGATACATAAGCACAGATAATTCTTTTCTAACTATTCTTCCAGAGCTGTTCAGTGATATACCTCCCCTTTTCAGTTTTTATCATAACCAGCAATTAGGTATTTATCAATGTTTATTTATCTAATGTTATATGCCTCAAGTGATCTCTATAATGACAGAAGAGGTACCGTACCATCTTGTTCACTTGTCCATTTTGGGCCAAGCATGGATTTCACGGCTGGCCAGAATGCCCTCTTAGTGATTTCTGCACATTGCTTCATTCAGTGCCCATAGATGTACCTTTGAGTGGCTATTGATACGGTATCCTCATTTTCACAGAGGGAAATGGAGGTTAACCAGATTTCCCAGCAACAGAAAGTGATTTCTAGAACTGAAGCCAGGCAGTCTGCACTCAGTCTATGCTTCCCCAGAGGCAAATCCCCAGGGCAAATCCCAGTATCAACTGAAGATTGTCACTTTAAGTTGAGATATAGGAATGGAATGTTGTTTTTCCCATTGGTCCGACTCATATCATTTTAAGGAACAACAGTGACTTAGAAAATATAA